CCCCAAAACCCCAAAACCCCAAAACCCCACAATACCATATTAAGGCAATAATTTAAGTATTTAATTCCTCAAAGAAATTACATAAGCATTTTATCAATTGCTTTATTAATCAGATGTGCTATTATTATTTTATTCTTTTAGGATTTCTATGAACTGGACCTTACTTCAGATATTCACTAAGATTTGTTACAAAGCTATCCTCTTATGTCAAATCTAATACTTGAGTTTGAGTAAAATCCTAATAATTTGAATCAATCATTTGAACTTCAGAGTTCTCAGTGATTAAACTCTTATTTTTAAAACTATTATCTTAAGTATTATGATTGATTTTCCCCTAATATTTATAGGGCTCAGTTCTATTTTAACAATTCCTCCTATCTGCTTTTGAAAGATGTCTTTTCAAATATTTAAATAATTAGTCTGGCTCTATTAAATCAACCTATAGTATCTTTCTCATTTTCGGTATTTTATAGATCTAATACTAATGTGTTTTAATGTCAACAATTTCTTGATTGATACAATAATCAATAAATTTGGCTTGAATGTTTCTTCTAGTTGAAGAAACCTTTTCGAAGCCTATAAGTGAAGCTAGCTCTTAATTTACAATATAACGTTATTTATCATCATCTTTGATATGAGTTCTAATTTATGTTTCTTTTAAGAAAGAACTTTTAACATCTTTTTGCATATGAATTCCTGCAATTTTAGAAGTAATTCCGCTTAATATAAACTATTCATTGATAAAGTTATTGTAACTATTGAACAATGTGCACTTTTATGGTTGAACTTAGAAAGTAATAGGCTGTATAGTAACACCACAATCAATAGCTTTGTGATGTCTTTGTTACAAATTTTTCTCTATCGTTGTACCGTCATTTAAAAATCAATTGCTTATACAATTTTCGATATTTCGTTTCATTCTATTCAGAATAGTATTTGGGTTTATATTGTATTAAATAGCTTCTTGTTAAAGATAATTTATAACTTTTTGATTTTCATCGACTTTTTATCATTTTTAATGATAATAAAGTTTATCTTTAATTTCTTCAAGATTTCGTTTCTCAAAAAGTTCTATTGAGGCTGACTATTTTTTAATTCTTTTCATAAGATTAATTTTATAATCTAACTCAAAATTGATTATATTTAATGAAGGGGTTTTGGGGTTTTGGGG